CGTGTTCAAATTCAATTATGAAGTACAAATGTGATCTAGCTAGCTATAGGAATAAACATTAAAATACATGAAATAAATTAAAAGAGTTCACACGAATATCAGATGGGGGGAGCTTTGTTTGCAATTATCAACTATAAAACAGTCACAAAAAACTGAAATAACAATACGGAGAGGAATTCTCGGGATGTGATCGATTATAGGAAAATTTCACTATATGGGTAATTGTAACTACTAATACATAGCTAAATATCAGTGGGTAGGCTAGACTATGGATTAAATAGCTTTCTCTCAAACAACTATTCCGCTTCAAGCGATTTCTTTCGAACATTAACAAGCATAGCAATTAAGAACATCCCACACCTTAATTCATCCACTCTCTCAATCTAGATGAGTAGGATTGGGTTTAGAATTCACGCTCTCGAGCTGAACCCATATCAACCCAATACCTACAAACCATTAATCAAAAGCCTTAGCCCCAAAACCTCTCTTTCGAGCAAGCGAAAAACATAAAAATAGAACTGCATTTGCAACTACAATTCATAAATTAAACCCCAGCTAATGATTAAACCCACTTCAATATAGTATTTAAACTAGTAATTAACAATACCCATAAGTTAATTCAACTAATCACATGATCATACCCTAAGAATCGGGGTTTTAGCTAAACATCATAAAAAGGTAAAAATGGTTACCAAATCGATTATCCGTCAACTGGTAAGAGTAATCAACCCTTTACAATGCTCCAAATTGAAGAAATTTAGTAACCCACTTGCAAAATCTCTGAATTGAGTCTCAAAAAGTCTTCAAGTCTACTGGCAAACTATTCTAAATGGTAGCCAGCTAAAATTTAAAAAAAGTCTTTTTAATTAACAGTTTAAAATTCAATTTATAGTTGCCAAAAATTAGCCACAAAGGGCCATAGGGCGAGGTAAGTCGGGTTCGCCGAGTGGTTCGGCGAACCGCCCTTTGCTATCTTCTATCACCTTTTTGCATTGTCTCTCAACATCCTCAAGTACTGTAACTTTGGGTGATCACTCTTAGCATCGCGGAACTGCTCAGTGATTCGCCGACTGCCCCTTTCCAGTCGCTGACTTGGTTTCTTCCCTCAGGGCAGGCACACTGGAACTTTATGCATACTAAACAGACACTTGGCGATTTACCTAATGCTCTTGGCGATTATCAGGCTCGCCTTTCTCCGCTTCTTCAGTTGTTTTGTTCCTTTTTTCCTATTAGTATCCTTGATTTTTCTCCTCAATCCATATACCTAAAAATTCAAGGCTTTAACATCAGTTTATGGCACAAATTAAGCATTTGAGAACACTAAAACTATATAAACAAAGCCCCAAATGAGTCCAAATCTCAGACTTATTAAGAGGCCTGCGGGTATTTTATATGATATACTTGTTAAAGTGGAAAGTTTCATCTTCCCTGCTGACTTTGTGATTTTGGATTGCGAAGTGGATTTCGAAGTTCCCATGAGTTTAGGAAAGCCATTTCTGGCCACATGTAGAGCTCTAGTTGATGTAGAAAGTGGGGAGATATGAGTGTGGTATCTGCGATCAATATTGTTGAAGAGGGTGACATGGAAGCATCCATAGAGGAAAGATGTTTTATAGAGACATTGGCCGCATGATAGTGAATTTCAATGAAGTCTTTTGGTTTGACTATATAGAGACTCTAATTGCACTACAGGGCATAGGCTCAAACTCTTACTCTCCCAACAAGTTAGACTTGGACTTGAAGAATAGGCCAAATCCGCCTCTGAAACCATCTATTGAAGAACCGTATGTGCTTGAGTTGAAGTAGTTGCCTAGTCATTTGAGGTATGTATTATTAGATGAGAATAACATTTTGCCAGTTATTTTGGCTGCAGATCTTAATGATGAACAAGTGCAAGCAGTGGTGAAAGTGTTGAAGAGGTTCAAGAAAGCAATTAGTTGGACAATTGTTGATATCATCGGGATACCTCCAAGTATTTTCACTCATAAATTCAGCTTGAGGAAATTGCAGTATGAGTTTAGAGCACCAGAGGATGCTGAATCTACTGATGCAAGAAACGGTAAAGAAAAAAATTAGCAAGTGGCTGGATATTGGGGTGGTGGACCCCATTTCTGATAGTCAATGGGTTAGCCCAGTGCAATGTGTGCCCAAAAAGGGTGGAATGATAATTGTAGCAAATGCGAAGAATGAGTTGATCCCGCAAAGGCCAGTTACAAGTTGGTGAGTGTGCATGGACTAAAGGACGTTGAACAAATGGACCTTGAAAGATTATTTCCCAATGCCTTTCATGCACCAGATGTTAGATAGGCTGGTAGGAAAAGGGTGGTACTGTTTCTTAGATGGATACTCTAGGTATAATCACATATCAATTGCTCTAGAAGATTAGGATAAAACCACATTTAAGTGTCTTTATGGCATTTTTGCATTCAAGTGCATGTCATTTGGATTGTGTAATGCACAAGCAACTTTTCAAAGGTGTATGATTTCCATCTTTTCAGACATAGTTGATGACACTTTGGAGGTATTCATGGATGGCTTTTATGTGGTAGGTGACATTTTTTATGACTGTTTGTTAAATCTTAGCAGGGCACTACAGAGATGTGGAGAGGCAAACCTGGTGCTAAACTGGGAAAAATGTCACTGTCAAGGAATGCATAGTCCTAGGTCATAAGGTTTCCAAGAAATGTTTGGATGTGGATAAGGAGAAAATGGAAGTGATAGAAAAGTTGACCCCACCTATCTCTGTTAAAAGGATTCAGAGTTTCTTAGGCCATGAAGGGTTCTATCGGCGCTTCATCAAAGACTTCTCTAAATTTGCACATCCTTTGTGCAAATTGTTAGAAAATGAGATGAAGTTCACTTTTGATGAAGCATGCACCAAAGCTTTTGAATGTCTGAAAGCTAAGATAATCTCAGCCCCAGTGATCATTGGTCCAGATTAGTACCATAGCCTCCTCTAAATCAGTTAGCCCCTCAAACACAGTCTCCTCCTGAACACCAAGCTGCTCGTCATCTGTCGCTGCCTCGGACTCTGCAGCCGCATAATCAGCTCTAACCTTATCTCTGGTGGTATCCGGAGGCACATCAAAATGAGCTAGAATATCTATGCTCAGGTCATCAGGGATCTCCACAGTCCCAAAAATCAGAGACATATTAGTGGACTTCAGCTGGTCCACATCCTTTCTCAACTCCACAATCGCGACCTTTAAGGTTGTCACCTCATGAGTAGCTCTCTGACGTCTCTCACACACCTATAACCTCATCGTGAGGGCATCAATATAATCTCTGAGAGGTGCTAATGCATCAGTGAGAGCTCTTTCAATTATCCCGGGAATCGCGACCTCTAGCATGAAGGCACGCACATTAGAAGAATGGGCTAGGTGCCCCATCCATTGCAGTATGGCCTAGGTGAGCGGAGGTTGGGATGCAGCAGTGCTAGCAGCAGATCTAAGAGGTAGGGGAGTAGCAGAAGAACTCGGAGTCACAGAGGGGGCAGAGCTAGAAATACCTAAAGGCCCAGTGTCTAGAGTAGGCAATACTGCCTCTGCAGGTAATGTCTCAATATCAACCGCCGGGGATGTATCCATTGGAGCTACCTTCCTTCTCTCATCTTCATCCTTCAGTACTCGGCCTTAATATGCCGGATGTTAATAGAGAAGGTGGGAGTCACTTCCACATCTGCATTCTCATCTCGCAGAACACAGGCCCATCTGCATAGCTCGGTGATCAACACAGAAAATGAAAGAGATGTCGGGCGCTGCTTGGCCCTCATGGCCATCTCCTACCCAATGATCACACCTAAATTTTGTCTCTTCCTAGAAATAATGAATCCAAGACAGGCCGCCTTTGTGTGGTAAAGGATAGACTCATTCTGGGATGGTATGATTGTGCTACTAATAATCCTGAACCAATACATCGCTGCCACATTGAGGTCTTTCTTCTCTATTGGAACTCCAATCTTAATCCACCTAGGATTATCGTTAGAAATGAGAGGGGCCAGCCAACTTTTCATATCCTCTAATGTCGTTTTCTTGATCATGCTCCAGTAGTCATCTACGAAGTTGTAAGTGCATTCCAAGACGGCGTTTATGTCATCACTATCACATTTTACCTTCTTCCCCAGACAACCACATAATCCACTAGTTTGAAGGTGCTGGCCTTCCTCTTCCCTTATGGTACCAAAGCTCCGTAGGCTAAGTAGAACTCCCGAACCCAATTTGGAATGTAGGGACCCCGAGGTTTAGTGAAGAGCTGGAATTTGTGGGACTTAAGAGTGATCCATATCTCCGTATACCTGTTCACCACACCATCTGTGGACAACCTCTTCTCCTCAATTGTAGTCATTAGTCCTTCGGCCTTTAGTCTGTTGAGAGACCGGGGAGGAAGACCTTGTACATGTGGCGCTGGGACCACAGTCTGAGCTAAAGCTGGGGGAGGAGGAGGAGTCTGAGGAACCCGGATCCTAGAAGGATCATGCATCCCTTTGGAGTGAAGCTCTGTTCTACGGGTATGAAGAAAATGGTCATCTTCAGGCTTAAAGATGGAAGCCTGAGCATCCTGGGAATCTCCCTCATTGTCTGATAAGGTGAGGTCAGTCTCATAGACTCTCTCACTGTCAGAGCTAACCTCCGGTGACTGTACCACGGGCGCCTTGCTCTTTACTTTCCTTTTCCTCCTTGTAGGGATCTTAGATGCCTTTGCCTTGGATGAAACTGTATCCTCATTTATCATGACTCCTATGAGGTATGTATTCTTAGGCGAGAATAACATTTAAGGTATGTATTATTAGGCGAGAATAACATTTCGCCAATTATTTTGACTGTAGATCTTAATGATGAACAAGTGCAAACAGTGGTGAAAATGTTGAAAAGGTTCAAGAAAGCAATTGGTTGGACCATTATTGATATCATCGGGATACCTCCAAGTATTTTCACTCATAAATTTAGCTTGAGAAAGATTGCAGTCTGAGTATAGAGCACCAGATAAGGCTGAATCCACTGATGCAAGAAGTGGTAAAGAAACAAATTAGCAAGCGGCTGGATGTTGGGGTGGTATACCCCATTTCTGACAGTCAATGGGTTAGCCTACTGCAATGTGTGCCCAAAAAGAGTGGAATGATAGTTGTAGCAAATGCAAAGAATGAGTTAATCCCGGAAAGGCTAGTTACAAGTTGGTGAGTGTGAATGGACTAAAGGACGTTGAACAAATGGACCTTGAATGATCATTTCCTAATGTCTTTCATGCACCATATGTTAGATAGGCTGGCAGTAAAAGGGTGGTACTATTTCTTAGATGGATACTCTAGGTATAATCAGTTATTAATTGCTCCAGAAGATTAGGATAAAACCACATTTGTGTGTCTTTATGAAATTTTTGTGTTCAAGTGCATGTCATTTGGACTGTGTAATGCACCAACAACTTTTCAAAGGTGTATGATGTCTATCTTTTCAGACATGGTTGAGGACACTTTGGAGGTATTCATGGATGGCTTTTATGTGGTAGGTGACACTTTCGATGACTGTTTGATAAATCTTAGCAGGGCACTACAGAGGTGTGGAGAGGAAACCTGGTGCTAAACTGGGAAAAATGTCACTATCAAGGAATGCATAGTCTTAGGACATAAGGTTTTCGAGAAAGGTTTGGAGGTGGATAAGGAGAAATTGAAGTGATTGAAAAGTTTCCCCCACTTATCTCTATAAAAGGAATTCAGAGTTTCTTAGGCCATGAAGGGTTCTATCGGCGCTTCATCAAACACTTCTGTAAAATTGCACATCATTTATGCAAATTGTTGGAAAATGAGACGAAGTTCACTTTTGATGAAGCATGCACCAAAGATTTTGAATGTCTGAAAGTTAAGATGATCTCAAACCCAGTGATCAATGGTCCAGATTGGTCAAAACCATTTGAGGTGATGTGTGATGCAAAAGGTGTTGCCTTAGGGGTTGTGCTAGGGCAGAAACAAAATAAGATCTTTCACCCGATCTATTATGCAAGCAAGGCGCTAAATGGAGCACAAAGAAACTACATTGTCACAGAGCAGCTCGCAGTAGTGTATGCTTTTGAGAAATTCTGAGCATACTTATTGTGAACTAAAGTGATAGTTCACACAGACCATGCAACACTATTGTACTTGAGGGTGAAGAAAGATGCAAAGCTGAGATTGATAAGATGGGTACTATTGTTGCAAGAGCTTGTCTATGAAGTCAAAGACAGAAAGGGCTGTGAAAATCAAGTGGCAGATCACTTGTACAGACTGGAGGAAAAAGAGAAAGAGGAAGTTGATTTAGACACTGATGACTCATTCCCAGATGAGCAAGTATTAGCCGTCACTCTTAATCTCATTCCTTGGTTTGATAACTTTGCAAATTACCTTGTCAGTGACTTGATTCCTGAAGGGTTAACTTTTCAACAAAGGAAGAAGTTACTGCATGATGTGGGTAAGTAGTTTTGGGATGAACCTTACTTGTACAGGGTTTGTGCTGATAATATCATCAGGTGATGTGTGCCTGAAGCTGAAATGCTAAGTATTCTAGAAGAATGTCATTCATCTCCAGTTGGTGGACACCGTAGGGGTGCTCGCACTGCCCACGAGGTGTTCCAAAGAAGATACTATTGGCCTACAATACATTAGGATGCATTCTACTTGGTTAAAGGCTATAATATGTGTCAAAGATAAGGAGATATCTCTCGCTGTCATGAACTACCTATGACTCTTATCTTGGAGGTAGAATTATTTGATGTCTGGGAGATTGACTTCATGGGACCATTTGTAAGCTCGTTTGGGCAAAAATACATATTTGTGGCAGTTAATTATGTCTCCAAATGGGTTGAGGCTGTTGCCTTGGCGAAGAATGATGGTAAGAGTGTTGCAATGTTTCTGAAGAAGAACATTTTCTCAAGATTTGGCACACCTAAAGCTATTATCAGTGATGGAGGATCACATTTCTGCCACAAAGTGTTCAGCACGCTTTTGGCCAAATATGGGGTGAAACAACACAAAGTGGCAACGCCTTATCATCCGCAAATTGGTGGCCAAGTGGAAGTTTCAAACAGGGAAATAAAGTCATTTATTGCAAAGACAATGAATGCCAACAGAACGGATTAGGCAATAAGTTAGATGATATTTTATGGGCATATCAGATAGCTTTCAAAATACCCATTGGTATGTCACCATATCAGTTAGCGTTTGGAAAGGCATGTCATTTTCCTGTAGAGTTGGAACATAAGGTCCTTTTGGGCGCTGAAGAAGCTAAACTTGAGTTAGAGCAAAGCAGCGAATATGTGACTTGAGCAGATAAATGAAATGGATGAATTCCGAATGAGGGCTTATGAGATCTGCATTGTACAAGGAAAGGATGAAGTTGTATCACGACAACCATATTGAGAAGAGGAGTTTCAGGCATGGTGACTTGGTGCTATTATTTAACTCAAGGTTACACCTAATTCTGGGTAAACTAAGGTCCAAATGGTTTGGACCATTCAAAGTGACTCAAGTGTTTCAATCGGGAGCCATTGAACTTGAAAATGAAAAAGGTGAGAGGTTCAAGGCAAATGGCCAGCGAGTAAAAGCATTTATGGGTGTTCCAGAGGAAGTGAAGATAGTTGAGGAATTAAAGCTTGATGAAGTCTGAGTAATCAAGTAACCTACATTGTGCTGCGACGTTAAATTGTGCGCTACTTGGGAGGCAACCCAAGATGTAATTGTAATAGGTAGTTTAAATTATTGTAATAGTTCATTGTTTTTATATTGTCACAGTGTGTGCAGGAAAAGTTAGGAAACATCGAGGCCTAGAATGCTTTCACGAGCCACCCAACGGGCCGTGGTGCTCTTCACAAGCCACTTCACGGCCCGTGAAGTAGCAAGCCAAAAATAAGGAACCTCACTGGAAAAAGAGAAAAATGGTTCACGGAAGGGTTTACGTCTCTGTCTGACATTAGACGAACTATTTATCCTCTCATGAACTTGCAGGTAAGTTTTCTTGCTAAGTAATTCTCAAAAGCACCTGTACGGGCCATGGTGCTCTTTGTGGCCCGTCAAGGTTAGGTCAGCATTGACGGACCCGAACCAACCCGACCCGCACAACAATTAACTCAAATTCAATGCTTTTAATAGCAACCAAATAGCTAAAAGTTGGATTTTTCCCCTTTTCTCCATTCCTAACGTCTTTTGGGGGGAGTTACAAAGAGGTTTCTATCATCTATATCAAGAAATCAAAGAATCATTAAGCCCAAATTCAACATTGCAAGAAAATCCCAAAATCAAGTTGCCTTCTTATCCTTTTGTGCAAAAATTAGGGCTTAAATTGAAGTAAGTTCTCACTCTTTACTTGATATAAGTTTGATCTTATAAAAATCAAGTATAGAACTACTTGTATTGATCCTTTTTAGGGTATCTTTGAATGAAAATTGATTGGGTGTGTTCATATGTTGTGGGTATGGTTGTAGTTACTAGATTTCTACAATTAGATGTTGATTTTGTATTTAATTTACGTTGGGTTTGTGAAAAATTATGTAATCATGTTATGGGAAGGATAAGAAAGTCGTTTTTGGGGTGCTTTTGATTGATTGAGTTACATATTGTAAATTGTTAGGAATGTAGACTACAACCCTAGCCTAAGTGTAAGTGCACGACAAGTTTCACGGGCCGTGTAAAGGTTCACGAGTCGTGAAACCCTACGTGAATCATACTTAGGTGGTTGGTAGTCACTGGGTAAGCCTCACGAGGGCCTAGATGGACCGTGGTAATTACCACGGACCGTGAAACCCTTTGTGAACTATACCCAGTAAGTTAGTCCTCACTGTATAAACTTAAGGATGGCCTAGATGGCCCGTGGTACCTACCACAGACTGTATGGTGCCTCGTATAAAAAAATCAAAAAGAATTTTCTTTTCGTATGTCCTTCTTTATTTATTGTGTGGCCTTTCCCAATGATAGATTGAGTGATGACATTCTTAAGGCAAGGCGTCACTTTGTATACATACACATGGTAAGTCTGAGTACCCGTTAGTGTTTCATTTAATATACGTGAATGCTAACTCGCAGTCTCTCAGGTACAATGGGAAAACCAAGATGCAAGACGACACCACCGCACACCTCACCCCCTGCTTCTCTAGACCAAAGTCGAGTGTGGAGGCATCTAGTAGCTCTGAGGTCCGGGTAAACACAGAAATTGAAGCTCACTCTCCCCGGGCTACTAGATTTCGGACTGCTAGGGCTACTATAGAGCACACTTCTTTCTTGTTTGAAGAAAAAGTGGATGGTTCTGGGAGAGAGAGGGGGTCTGATGATGATTCCCGAGAGTCCACAAATGACCCACAACCAGTTGAGGGTACAAAGGAAGATAAAGATAGTCAAAAGGATAGTGATGCTAGTGAATCTGATGAGACATTGGTGCCGTTTGTTCGCCAGAGAAAGGCTGACCCGGTGATGCAACAATATCTTATTGATGTCTTTGGACGGATGTGGTCTGTCCCTAGATCTAGGGATATATTTGATAATGGCATACTGTCCAAGTCTAGGGGCATTGGACCGAGAGCAATTATCCCAGAGTCCAGAGTTGTAGAGGTAGATGTGCAGGCTTTTCCAGATATTTACAACTTGTTCAAACAACATCAGTTTGAATGGATGACTATAAAGATAGGAGAGTATGCGCGACACTTGACCAAAGAGTTCTAAGCCTTCTATGCAGCCTATCTAATGAACTTCGCTACACACACGAAAACAACTAAGAATTGGAAGAAAGTAGTCACAGCGACATGGACACCACTAACTGAGGTGATTGTTTGAGGTGAGGAGGTCCAGATTTCTGAAACTACCATAAACAGGTTTTTTCATGGCCCGAAGTACACAACACCTACTATAGTGGGTCTTTTTTAGGGTCACAACCATGCGGTGACAAATGAAGCCGACGTGGAAAATTCTATCTCAAATAAGAGTATTATGCGATGGATTGCGGGTCAGATTGCAGTGGAAGGTGAGGCAGCAACATGGGTAGCTAACTCACATGTGCACATTACCAAGGCATCGTTGACAATTCCTGCTAAAGTCAGGTGGGCAGTGGTCCATGCTCAATTGCAGCCAACGGGTAATGACAACACCCTCTCCCCTTCACTTGCTTCATTATTAGCATGCATCATGGACAGATACCCATTGACTGTGGGAATACGAATTGCTATGGAGATGCGGGATCGTGCATTGAATGAAAGAGCGAGTCAACCATTTTCTTGTCTGATAAGGAGATTGTGCGCATGCCAACGTACCACCTAACAGATTAGTGGACAAATATGTAGAAGCGACCAAGGTAACCATGGTGATCAAGATAAAATATGTATCCGATCCTCTATGGTTCGAGATGGCAGTGTCGCATCCTATTTCGAATCGGACGAAACAGTTCACAACATAATATGGCTGTCACTCTGATTTTGAAAAAATTGTTTTGTTTATTTTAGAGTTACCACCTAAATTTTAAGGAAAATATTAGGAAAACCATTTTTTATGTATGTAAATGTAAACTCTATTTTTGATTTGCGAAACCAGTGAGATTCTGTGTAAGGATTTTGGTTACTCGAGGGGAAGGTGTTAAGCACCCCTCAGAGCCTATATGAAGATAGTCCTTAAACTCAATTTAGGAAAATATGATTTGGAAAACTTGTTTATTTATTTGCTTTAAAAGTCAATGATAAGTTAATTAGTTAGTTTAAAAGGAGTGCAATACAAGGTACGACATATATATGTCATATAAAATAGATTTAATAGTGGTATCGTAAAATAAATAAATAAATGTACTTAAATATATGATACATTCATATGTAAAAATATATGTATAGGTGTATCATAAAATTATCCTAAAAATATATAGATGTTGAATTTGCGAAAATTTGTCGTCTTATTAAGATGTGAAAAATAAGATAGTAGTTGAGTGTAAATATGTAGTAATATGTGATGTGTAATTTAAATGAAAATATATAAAATGGGGTTTTCTAAAAATAAAATAAAAAAATAAATCATAAATGATACTAAACGTTAAAATATTATATAAAGCTTGTGATCTTAAATATATTTATTATAAAGTATAGTATATACATGTAAGTTGTTTAGAACATATGAACACTTATTATTTATTTACATGTATAGACAAATTGACGATAGATTATATGTAGTAAAGTAATATGTATATTTAAGTGTAGGCATTTATAAATTATAAAAATAAATAAATAACATTAGTAAAAGAAATAGTAGATAATACTAGGTTATGTGGAGAAAATATAGAATAAATACCTTTATATGTATGACATATATATGTATGTACCTTGTATTTGAACCTGTTGGCATATCTAAAATTTTGAAATGGCATGTTAAAAGATTAAAATGTTTTTAGCAATGTTTGATCCAAAAAAGTAAGAATAGTCAATATATTTTTATGAAGGAGATAGTAAAAAAAGGGCCTAACTATTAGAACTTATTCTATAGTCACATTTGTCTTGTTAAATTTATAAGCATACTTCCCTACTTATTTTCTTAAAAAAATGTATATCTAAAGATAAATATCTTAGCCTCAAGTAAATTTCTAAATGTAATTATTCTAGCCTTTAAACTAGTTTCAAAATATTTGGAGGTCCTAAGATAATTTCTAAACGTAATTATTCTAGCCTTTAAACTAGTTTCAAAATATTTGAAGGTCCTAAGCGATGAGCTGGCCTAAATGAATATTATTTTAGCCTTTATGTATCTCTAAATTCATTTGGAAGTCCCAACTCATGAGTTTTATTTTTTCTACTTAAGTACCTAAATGAAAATTACCTCACCCTTTTGAAACTTCATTTGGAAAATCTTTTAAAACTATAAGCCCCTCTTTTCAACTTAAAAGGCCTGAAAGAATGTTATAAGTGAAAATGCTAACCCATTTTAAGAAAATATCTTTTGTATCATTTGTTCTAAAGGGGTCTCATGTAAATTCATAAACAAATAATATTAGTTCACGTAAAATAAGCTTCAAAATAAAAGACAAACAATATACCAAAACTTGTAAGTAAAGGTTAGCCAACATATCAAAACAACATAAATAGGACAACAAAAGAAAGGCTAAGAAAACATTGGACTCCTAA